AATGTTGATGGGCAGATTGTTCCAAAGTTTAGGGCCCATGACTGAAAATGCTCAATCTCCTCTGAGCTTCAGGCTGGTTTTTGGTACGGCCAAAAGCAGCTGGTCTGAAGATCTTAAAGCCTGAGAAGGAGTATAAGGATGAAGAAGGTTGGAGAGGTATGATGGTGCAAGGCCGTTAATGCACTTGAATGTCAGCAGGAGAATTTTAAAATCAACTCTGACACGCACAGGAAGCCAATGAAGGGAGGACAGAACTGGAGTAATGTGCTCAAACCTGCGAGTTCCTGTTAAAAGCCGAGCTGCCGCATTTTGTATGAGCTGGAGACATGAAAATGAAGCCTGACTAATCCCAACATAAAGTGAGTTACAGTAGTCCAGCCGGGTTGTAATAAATGCATGGACTAGTTTTTCAAGGTCGGATCTGGACAGAACGGACTTAAGCTTTGCTATTTGACTTGGCTGAAAGAAACTTTTTTGTAGAACAGAGTTGATCTGTTTATTAAACCTAATGTTCGAGTCTAACACTACCCCGAGATTGGTACCCGACTGCTTTAGATGTGGCTGATGGGAGTGCAGGTTTACAGGATCAGTGACAGTGGTAGAGCTTGAGTTAAACACAATGACCTCAGTCTTCTGATCATTAAAACTCAAGAAGTTCGCAGCCATCCAAGTCTTGATGCCATAGAGACATTTTAGCAAAGGGTGGATGGAACAGGAACTGTTTGGTTTTAAAGGCAGATAAATCTGAGAATCATCTGCGTAACAATGAAACAAAATACCATGTTTCCTGAGGATTGATCCCAAGGGGAGCAGATACAATGAGAACAGAAGGGGTCCAAGAATGGAGCCTTGTGGGACCCCACAGGAAAGAGGGACAGAAGCAGATAAATGATTGTCAAAGTTAACACAAAAACCCCTGTCACCCAGATATGAACGGAACCATTCTAGCGCCACCCCGTAATCCCAACCCAGTGTTCTAGCTGTGACATAAGGATGCTGTGATCAACAGTGTCAAATGCAGCAGTAAGGTTGAGGAGTACCAGGATCACAGAATAACCAGAGTCATTTGCTAGCAGAATGTCATTACAGACCCTTACTAAAGCTGTCTCAGTGCTGTGCAGTTGTTTAAATCCTGACTGAAAAATCTCAAAAATTCCATTTACATTCAAAAACTTGGTTAGTTGACTTAAAAACTATTTCCTCCAAGATTTTAGATAGAAATGGAAGTTTTGAGATTGGCCTGAAGTTTGAACAAGCTGCAGGGTCAAGTCCGGGTTTTTTAATTAATGGAGTTACCACTGCATGTTTTAAAACATCAGGAACCACACCTGTAGCCAAACTGCTGTTAATAATGGCAAGAACAGGGGGTCCAGTTGATGGCAGAACCTGTTTAAAAAATGCAGCAGGGATGGGATCAGCAGGGGAGCCTCAGGGTTTCATGTGACTAACGACCTCATTTAAAAATGAGAGTGAGATGGGGTCAAAGTGACTGAAGACTGCTGAGCAGGGGACAAGAACTGAAGGGTCGGCTGTGGAGTGTGGAATTGATGATCTAATCGACTCAACCTTTTCAACAAAATGCCTGAAAAACTCATTACAGGTGTCAACAGAGGCCTCAATGGTGGCAGACTGAGGCACGTTTAGAATGGTGCTAATGGTGTTGAAAAGAACGTGGGGGTTGTGACTGTTTGAGTTGATAATTTTTGAGAAATATTTGTTTTTCTCCTGTTTGACGGTGGCCTGACAAGCTTTCCAACATGATTTTAACACATCAAAGGAAACCTGGAGTTTATATTTTTTCCATCAACGTTCAGCTCTCCTGCACAGGCGTCTTGCCTCTCTTGTGGTCTCATTTACCCAAGGGTGGGACGTGCGTTTTCGATTCCTGAGCGTTAACGGGACGACTGAGTCCAGGATCTGTACACAGGCCTCCTGATGCTGAGAAAGCAACTCCTTTGTAGTAAGACCTGCAGAGAGTTCAGAGTCTGAAACTGAATTACTAGCAAAGATGGAAGAGAAGAGTGTGGCGGTGGAAGGGTTAAAAATCCTACAGGGCTTGGGTGTGGAGGGAGGTGCAGGTTCACAAATCAAAGAGGTGTTGAATAAAACCGGTTTGTGGTTGGAACAAACAGTGTCACCAATTTCTAAATCAGAAACAGACAAACCGTGTGTTAAAACTAAGTCTAGAGTGTGGCCCTGCTGGTGAGTCGGACCAACAACACTCTGCACAAAGTTAAAGGACTGGATGAGGTCTAGACAGCCCTGAGCTAATGGTTTATCAAACTACTCGCACTAGGATTAAGCCCCTCCATTTGCAACTGGGTCCTAGACTTCTTAACAAAATGATTGTAGTCTGTGAGAATGCACAACTTCTCCTCCGCTATAACCCACAGCAATGGCTCCCCTCAGGGCTGTGTGCTGAGCCCTCTCCTGTTCACTCTGCTCACATATGACTGTGCACCTACCCATCCAGGCTGTCATATTGTAAAGTTTGCAGACGATACAGCGGTGGTGGGATGCATCACAAACAATGATAAGTCCAGCTACAGGCAGGAGGTGGAAAACCTGGAGAGCTGGTGCAAGAAGAACAACCTTCACATCAATGTTCATGAGCCATGAATCTCAGCATCAACGTGTGGCATGGAGGCTGCACAACTGCAGAAAGAAAAGCTTTGCAGAGAGTGGTGAAGGCTGCACAGAAGTCTGTTGGAGTCAACCTCCCCACCATCACATACTGTATATCTACACCTCCAGATGCAGGAAGAGGGCCACCTGCATCATGAAGGACCCCACTCACCCAGCACACACACACTTTTTGCCCCGCTCCCCTCAGGAAGGAGGTAAAGGAGCATTAAGTGTAGAACCACTAGACTGAGGAACAGCTTCTACCCTGAGGCTGTTAGACTCATGAATATCTACCCAGAATAATCACTGAAAAATCAGATCTTTTTTTTAAGGTTTAAAAAAATCACATCATGTTGCTGCTGATCTGTTTCATGTTGCTGTGTTCATTCATGCTCCTCTGCTCACACAGACTCATGTTCGTGCTGCTATTTGGCTTTTTTTTAATGCTATTAGTGCTTAGTGTATTTTTAGTTAATGTTTTTCTTAGTTCATATCTTAGATCTTATTACTGTTATTATTTTACATTTTAATGCTTTTGGTGGATGTAAATGGGACCCTGTGTACATAATTTTGTTCTACCACATGTACCACATGTGGTGCTTATGACAAATAAAGTACCTTGAATCCTTGAATGGCAGGTCCAGAATCAAGGCGGGCATGTCACTCACTAGGAGGAAATACATAAAAAAAAAAACATGTTAAAATAGAAACAATAACAAATGCAAATTATTAGAATTTATCAAAAGAAAGCCAAGTTTTAAAACTGGACAATGTGAGTCAGCTTTACAGACAGAAACTGGAAGTTGGTTCCACAAAAGAGGAGCCTGATAACTGAAAGATCTTCCTCCCATTCTGCTTTTGGAAACTCTTGAAAACACAAGTAAACCTGCAGTCTGAGAGCAAAGTGCTCTGTTAGGAAAATATGGAACAATAAGATCTGTAATATAAGATGGAGCTAGGTTGTTGAGAGTTTTGTAGGTTAGAAGTAAGATTTTGAATTAAATTCTGGATCTGGAAGCCAATGGAGAAAAGCTAAAACTGGAGCGATATGATCTCTCCTACTAACTCCAGTTAAGACTCTGGCAGCAGCATTTTGGATCAGCTGAAGACATTTTAAGGAAGTATTTGGACACCAGATAAAAAAACATTTCAATAGTCCAGTCTAGATGTGACAAATGCATGGACCAGGTTTTCTGCATCATTTTCAGAAAAGATGTTTCTAATTTTAGTGATATTACGCAAGTGGAAGAAGGCGGTTCTAGTAACTTTTTTAATGTGGGGGATAAAAGACGTCCAGATCAAAAATAACACCAAGATGTTTAACATTACAGCTGGAGGACAGATTAATGTCATCCAAGGACGGTGAAAGAATGAAAAATTTATTCCCAAGATGCTCAGGTCCAAAAACCAAAACCTCAGTCTTATATGTGTTCAAAAGAAGAAATTTAGGGTCATCCAGGTTTTTCTGTCTTTAAGACATGCTTGTAGTCTAAGTAGCTGATTGGATTCATTGGGTTTCATAGACAAATATAACTGTGTATCATCAGCCTAATGAAAATTTATCCCGTGCTGTTTAATAACATTACAGAAGCATATACAAGGTAAAGAGTATTGGGCCAAGCACTGAACCCTGAGGAAATCCATGAGCATATTTGGTATATGAAGATATTTACATTTACAAACTGGAATCAATCAAACAAGTATGGTTTAAACCATTTTAGAGCCGTTCCTGTAATCCCAATATCATATTCAAGTCTTTGTAATAAAATATTATGATCAACTGTATCAGATGCAGCAATGAGGTCTAACAGGACCAGTGTAGACACTTGTCCATTGTCAGATGCCATGAGAATATAATTAGTAACTTTCACTAGTGCAGATTCCATGCTATGGTGAGCTCTAAACTTTGACTAAATTAAAAAAAAAGATTATTTATTTGTAGATGTTCATGCAACTGACCTGCAACTATTTCCTCTAGAATTTTTTAGATCAATGTTAGAATAGATGTAGGTCTATAATTGGCCAGAATTCCTGAACCAAGATAAGATTTTTTAAAGTAAGGGTTACATTACAGCAATCTTAAAAACAACTGCAACACTGTGCCACCCTTAGTGAATCATATGATCAAATTAGTTTACAACCAAACGTCCTCCTTTTGCATATAAACAGCTCATTTTGGCTGTCACCAGTAAACTGGTTGATCCACTATGGGAATGTGCTGCTTATAAGACTGAGCTTGTTGCAGTGCATCAGACTGATGAACAATTCATTTCAACAAAGAAGAATCTGTCCAGAGGTTCAGACTCAACCTTGTTAGAACAGTTGGATTTGTTTAATCTCAGAAATATTAGACAAAAGTAGAAAGAAGAGCTATGATGAATAAAGAACAAAGAAAAATAAACCACACCAAGAAGGATGGAGACAGAGGACAGTGGGCCAGTAAAACAGAATATATTTTAGTTGTTGCAGGGAACGTGGTGGGCCTGGGCAACGTGTGGAGATTTCCTTATCTCTGCTACAAGAACGGAGGAGGTAATGAACAAAGTTTAGATTGACTTTTTAAAAATGCAAGTGTTGATTTAATATGATTTATGGAGTATAAGATGATCAGTATAACTATTTGACATATCTCACTCTTTATTCATAGGTGCCTTTTTGGTTCCATATACTCTGTTTGCTGTGGTGTGTGGAATTCCTCTTTTCCTGATGGAGACTTCATTCGGTCAGTACACTCAGGAAGGTTTTATCACCTGCTGGAACAAACTGTGTCCGCTGGCAAAAGGTGAGCTCACTCTCAAACTGGCTGTATGTTCACAGTCTCTCCCAGTTATACATGTTTAAATAGTGACACTAATGTTTATTTCAGGCATCGGGTACGGACTTTTCATGATGAAACTTTATGCGATCAGCTACATTTTAGTCCAAGTCTGGGCTCTGTTCTACCTCGTTTGCTCATTCAGATCCCAACTCCCTTGGGCCAGCTGTAACAACACCTGGAATACAGGTAGGAAATAATTTTAATCCAAATCTGCTATAAAATCTAATAATAATTACCTAAGTTAGAAGTAAAATAATGATAAATAAAATGTAAGAACAGTAATACTTATATTTTGATATATGTATTTTTTTTAGTTTTTGGTTAAGATTGTAATTTTGTGTGCAAAAACATAATGTCCAAGATCTAAAATCAAATAAAAAAATTAAGGGCTCAAATAAAACAAAACATCAGAATAAAAATCATGTTGTATTTCTGACAGTCATGATAAAGATGTTTCTCTTTCATTTTTGTTTCCCTCCTAATACACAGTGAACTGTATCGACGTTCTGTCTTTGAATTCATCCAACGTTACTGTGACTCACACCAACACCACTTCATCTGCAATTGAATTCTGGGAGTGAGTTACAATTCCTTTTTTAATCAGACATCCTGAATTGTAAATTATTTAGTCAAAACTAAAGTTTTGATTAAAATTGATAAAGTCCAACGGATAAGCCAAAATCCAAGATGCTCTTTTAATTTATAAAACTTGGAATATCTATTCTCAACTGCATGATCTAAGTCTTGTTTTTATCTGTTCATTTAACTCATTTCAGAGGATTACAAGCCTGCTCATCGTTAAAAAAATCTAACGTTGGGTTCCAACTTGTCACTCAACACAAACTAAATAATTAGTATTAGTCGTTGGAAAAAAGAAAAGCTGACACACTTCTTGTTGTCATGAATGTACGTGCAGAAATTGTGCCCAGCTTTAAGTGTCTTGGGACACAAAATGCTGTTAAAATCTCCTGGTCCATGAACTCCACTTACAATAAAAATAAGAAAAAAAAAGTGCAACAGCACATGCACTTTCTGAGGATTTTGAGGAGGAATTATCTCTTGTATGTCACTCACCGATGGTGGCTTTTTATCACTCTACAATTGAGAGCATGCTAACGTACTGCCTCACAGAGTGGTATACTGGGTGCTCAGTGCTGGGTTAAAAAAAGCCCTGTAGAAAATTACCACCATGGGACAGGACATCAGTGACTGCCCCCCCCCCCCCCCCCATCCTTATTGGAGCTATTAGCAAACAACTGCTACCACGCCAGAGTCATGAATATCATAAGGGACCATATATACCCTTGACATCACCCGTTTAGACTTTTACTCTCAGGAAGATCATATGGATCAAGATTTGTAAATTGTTTGATACATTCGGCCATTCACGTTCTTATGACTTTAATTGACTTTAAAATTTAACAACAGTATGTTTTAGCAACTGTGATCCACGTTTACTGTTTTTGCTGCACTGTAAATACTTTTTTTTTAAAGTTTATGATTCATAAAGACTTATTATTATTATATATGGATTTGTATGATGAACTTATAATAAATTATATATATATTTTTTAAATTTATTTTGTATATCTTTTTCTCATAGTTGTTGGTTATTGTGCATGAGGCACCAATCAGAGACTGCATCCATCCATAATTTCAATTGCCGTTACGGGAATCAATCTCTAAATATTGGACTTGATGCGTGTTTCTCTTCAGACGGCGAGTACTAAACATGTCTTCAGGTATTGAGGAGCTGGGCAGCATCAGATGGGAGCTGGCCTTGTGTCTTTTGGTCAGCTGGTTTATCGTTTACTTTTGCATTTGGAAAGGCATCAGATCATCTGGAAAGGTACTACAGAACATCTTGCACTGCACTAGAAGTGCCTACCCTAAACATCCCTAAAATGTTAAATGAATTATCTTTTCAGGTAGCATACTTTACCGCCACCTTTCCATATGTGATGCTCTTCATCCTGCTCATCAGAGGTTTGACGTTGCCCGGAGCTTGGGATGGGATTTACTATTACCTGTATCCGGACATAAACCGCCTGGCTAACCTTGAGGTATGTCTTTTATTTGTAAAAGTTTAGCACAATAATTCTAAAGGTTTAGAAACCATGTACCATCTTACAAAATGTTTACAACTCAACTTTGAACATAAAGACTATCAAAACACGTATAATTAGGAATTTATAGCCACCATAGAATTGGATCCTTTTCTGAAGAAAATGAAGACAGAAATACTTTGTTTTTATTAATGTTGATGTTTAAAACCAACAAATAAACCAGTCACTAGGGAGCACAAGCCAGTGCATCTCTTGTGCCAGTCCCAAGCCCGGGTAAATGGTGAGGGTTGTGTCAGGAAGGGCATCCGATGTAAAACACTTTGGCCAAAACCATAATGCAAGTTCATCAAAGTGAAACCATACCAGATCGGTTGAGGCCCAGGTTAACAATGACAGCCACTGATGCTGTTGTCAAACAGGGCGCTGGCAGAAATTGTGCTACTGTTAGTCGAAGACCACGAGGAGGGAAACATGTCAGGAGACAGAGGGAGAAGAGGAAAGTCAAGAATGTAAGACTGAGGGTTGCAACTCTAAATGTGGGGACAATGACAGGCAAAGGTAGAGAGCTAGCTGACATGATGCAGAGAAGGAAGGTAAACATTTTATGTGTCCAAGAGACCAAGTGGAAGGGCAACAAGACTTGCAACATTGGAGCAAGGTTTAAACTGTTTTACCATGGTGTGGATAGAAAGAGAAATGGAGTAGGGATGATCCCGAAGGAGGAGTTGGCAATGTAGTAGAGGTAAAATGAGTGTCAGATAGGGTGACGTGCCTGAAGGTAGAATGGTAACTGGACTGCACTTAAATAGCACTTATCTATCTTATCAAGATACTCAAAGCACTTTGCAGCACGATCTGTGCCCTCATTTACCCTGCTAGAAGGTCTGATGCTAAGCATTGTCAGTAGTTATGTTCCACAGGTTGGATGTGATAGGGAGGAGAAAGATAAATTTTAGAAATATCTGGATGAAGTGATAGAGAGTATTCCCAAGGAGTAAAGAGTGGTGATTGGAGCAGACCTGAATAGACATGTTGGTGAAGGAAACCGAGGGGATGAGGAAGTGATGGGTAGGTTTAGTGTCAAGGAAAGAAACTAGGAAAAATGATGGTGGATTTTGCCAAGAGAATGAAAATGGCTATAGTCAATACCTATTTCCAAAAGAGGGAGGAACGGAGTGACGTATAAGAGTGGAGGAAGGAGTACGCAGGTCAACTACATTCAGTGTAGAAGAGGAAACCTGAGGGAGATTTGAAACTGTAAGGTTGTGGCAGGGGAGAGTGTGGCCAGATAGCATCAGTTTGTTGTGTGTAGAATGACTGTTGTTGTGAAGAAGAGAAAAAGAGTAAAATCAGAGAAGAAGAACAAATGGTGGAAGCCAAAGAAGGAAGAATGTTGTGAGAAATTCAGAGAGGAACTGTTAAAGGCTCTGGTGGTAAGAAAGAGCTTCCAAATGACTGGGCTACTACAGCAACAGTAATTAAAGAGGCAGGTAGGAATGTACTTGGTGTTGTTATCCGGATGATAAAGAAACCTGGTGGTAGAATAGTGAAGTGCAGGATGCAGTTCAAAGAAAGAGGTTAGCCAAGAAGAACTATGACAGTGAGAGGACTGAAGAGAGGAAACAGGAATATAAGGAGAAGGGACATAGAGCAAAGAGAGAGGTAGCTTTGGCAAAGCAGAAGGCGTATGATAAGTTGTATGGGAGGCTAGACACTAAAAAGGGCAAGAAGGACTTGTACCGATTGACAAGACAAAGGGATCAGACTGGAAAGAATGTACAGCAGGCTAGGCTTATTAAAGATAGGAATGGTAATGTTCTAACAAGTGAGAAGAGTGTGACAGGAAGATGGAAGGAGTACTTTGAGGAGATAATGAATTAAGAGAATGAAAGAGAAAGAAGAGTAGAGGTCATAGAAACTGTGGACCAGGAAGTGGGAAAGATTAATGAAGGAGAAGTCTGTAAAGCTCTGAAAAGAATGAAGAAGGGGAAGGAAGACAGTAGGACCTGATGACATACCAGTGGAGGTTTGGAAATGTCTTTGAGAGATGGCAGTGAAGTTTTTGACTCAAATATTCAATGACATATTTGAGCGTGAGAAAATGCCCAAGAAATGGTGCCCATTTTTAAGAACAAGGGTGATGTACAGAGTTATAGCAACTACAGGGGACTTAAGTTGATAAGCCACACAATGAAGATCTGGGAGGGAGTTGTGGAAGCAATACTTAGACGAGAGGCGACTATTTGTGAGTAGCAGTATGATTTCATGCCATGAAAAAGCACCACAGATGCCATCTTTGCTTTGAGAATGCTGATGGAGAAGTACATAGAATGTCAGAAAGAACTTAATTGTCTTTGTGGATTTAGAAAAAGTACATGACAGGGTGCCGAGGGAGGAGGTCTGGTATTGCATGAGGAAATCTGGAGTGGCAGAAGAGTATGTTAGACTGGTACAGGACCTGTATGAGGACAGCAGGACAGTGGTGAGATGTGCTATACGAGTGATGGATAGCTTCAAGATGGAGGTGGGATTACATCAAGGATTGGCTCGGAGCCCCTTCTTGTTTGCTCTGGTGATGGACCGACTAACAGATGAAGTCAGGCAGGAATTCCCGTGGACTATGATGTTTGCAGATGACATTGTGATCTGTGGTGAGAACAGGGAACAGGTGGAAGAGAACTGGAAAGGTGGAAGTATGCACTTGAAAGGAGGAGGAATGAAAGTCAGCTGTAGTAAGACAGAGCACATGTGTGAATAAGAGGGAGGCCAGTGGAACAGTGAGGCTACAAGAAGCAGAGGTCACAAAGGTGCAGGACTTCAAGTACTTGGGGTCCACTGTCCAGGAAAATGGGGAGTGTGGAAAAGAGTTGAAAAAGAGAGTCCAGGCAGGATGGAGTGTATGGAGAAAAGTTTCAGGAGTGATTTCAGGACTAATTATTCTTTACCATGACCAACCAAAGCCTAACCTGATGCACATCCTTTCCAGTCTAATCCGTCTTGCCAATCGGTACAAGTTCTTCTCGCCCTCTTTCGGGTCCAGCCTCCCTTACAACTCATAATTTGCCTTCTGCTTTGCCTTTGCTACCTCCCTCTTTGCTCTACATTGCATCTCCTTATATTCCTGTTTCCCCTCTTCCGACCTCTGTCATATTTCTTCTTGGCTAACCTCTTTCTTTGAATCTGAAGCATCCTGCATTTCGCTATTCCACCACCAGGTTTCCTTATCAACAATCCAGATGACACACCGAGTATCTTCCTACCTGTCTATCTTATTACTGTTGCTGTAGTAGCACAGTCATTTGCGAGCTCTTCTTGCCACCCTGAACCTTTAACAGCTCCTCTCTGAATTTCTCACAACAGTGATTACAGTGAAATTGTTCTTAAATCTTCCTTTCTATAAATAGCAGGACTCTACCAGTATTTTTCCCTGATTTTTCAAAGTTAGAGTTCTCTTACTGCAGTATACAGACAATGATGAACTAACTGTTTATAAGTATTCCACACAGCCCCAGGCAATTAATGGTTAAACAAAACATATAAGTCTAAAATTTTCTCTCATGTCACAGGTCTGGACGGAGGCATCCTCTCAAATATTCTTCTCCTACAGTTTGGTTGCAGGAATTTTGAGTGTTCTGGGCAGCTACAATGATTACCACAACAACTGCTACAAGTATGTTACATGAAGAATCTAATGTATTGATGATTGGAGGAGTACTAGTCACTTGTATATTCATCAATTTGACCCTTAGGGACTGCTTCTGGCTCTGTCTGCTGAACAGTGGAACCAGTTTTGTTGCTGGATTTGTTGTCTTCTCTGTACTGGGATTCATGGCTCAGAAACAAGGTGTTACTGTGGACAGTGTGGCTGAGTCTGGTATGATTTTTGTTAGCTAACTCCACAAAAAGTGTCTTGATTTAGTAATTTCTATAAACACTGATGTTAAATTTGGTGTGGTAGTAGCTGTGACTGATTCCCAAGACATACCATTACTCAGACAGCTAACTGATGGTCTCATATATTTGTTTAACATTGTCCAATTACCTATTTAAAGAATAATCTTGTTTGTTTCTAATCACCAGGTCCAGGTTTGGCCTTCATCGCCTACCCTCAGGCTACAGCCATGATGCCTCTACCACAGTTCTGGACTGTCTCCTTCTTCCTGATGCTGATTCTGCTTGCTGTTGACACACATGTAAGACACTTTAACTGCTCCTTGAGTTAAAAGTACTCAACTCAAACTCTTGTTTTCTCGTCTCCAGTTTGTTTCAGTAGAAATTATAATCACTTCGGTCTGCGACCTGTTTCCAAAACTGTTTCGTGCTCCAAGGAGGCGGGAGATGTTTACCCTCGTCATCTGTTCAACAGTCTTCCTCCTACAATTACCTATGGTCACTGAGGTAAATAACATATGGTGTTAAGTTTTTATTTAATTAAATTTATTTTCAAATATTTATTTTATTTCTCTTTTCTTCAGGGAGGAATTTACATATTTACACTTATTGATTACTATGGTTCTACCAGAGCCAGTCAAGATTTTATGGCTGTATGTCTCTGCCTGGCAATAGCCTGGATATTTGGTAGGTGAATAATTTTTACAAATAAATGTTTTTAGCTGTACAAATGTGTTTGTTTGTGCTGTTAGCCCTGCCGTCAAACATTAGTCATACCAGTTTCTTTAAATCTTGTAACATGTTTAAAATGTAACACGAGTTAATCAACATTCAATTATTTGACTTTTGCTCAGGAGCTGATCGTCTTTTAAACATCATCGAAGACATGACGGGACAGAAACCATCAGTTTTCTTTAAACTCTGCTGGAAATACATTATTCCTCTACTGTCACTGGTGAGGCTGAAAACACAAATTTGAGTTTTATGACTTATATTCCATGCAGTTTCATTGATAAAATCTTGGGATTTCCAACAGAATCACCATCAGTAATGCTCCATTGGAAATGTTTTCCAGATTTTCTTCATCTTGCGTCTGGTTGCTTACAAACACCATAAGGTGAATGACTGGTATGTTTACCCTAACTGGGCATACAGTCTGGGATGGTCCATGACTCTGTCCTCTGTCCTCCTGGTGCCGCTGTGGGCAGCTGGACAGCTGTGCTTCACACCAGGAACCTTCAGACAGGTTTGTGCTTGAAGAAGAGACTCCTGCAGATGAGTCATGTGGAAAAACTAAACCATAATCGTCCACCAATAAACAACAAACACCAGAGCCATCTTCCTTTAAAGCATAGTGTGCAGTCGTTTTGGTGATTTAGTATTACAGATGATACTTCTGACCGCCAATAGAAAATGATCAATTATTAGTCAGTATTTTCAGTGTTGATTTTAAAGTTATTGGGTTGTACTATAACATGTTTCTTTCCCTATTTGAAAATCTCAGTACTGTTTGTAATGGTGTTGGCATTTCTCTTTCTAGTCAGTAATTTTTATTTATATTTTTTGCATTGCAGCGCTTGCACATCCTTTGTCGCCCTGATGATGACTGAAGATACAAAAGACTAAAAGCAAGATACAAGAACTCGATAAAATTTTAGCTAAAAGTGAAATGACAGTTGTGGGAAAAGCAAGGAATTTTTTTTAAAACTGCTATTTGAACTAAAAATAAGAAATTGCATTTGGTCCGAAAACGCAAAATATAGCAAAACCTTAGGTTAAAAAAACACACACAACTAAGAGCTGTGAAGGACATCTAGCTATAACAAAAATGTAGCAAAATTGTTCCTAACAATGAAATATATTTCTATCAGGCTATATATTATCTTACACTAATGTGTGATTATTTGTATTCTTTATAAATTGTTTTTATATAGCATCTTATATCATAATTTTATGTGTTAAGAGACAAGGTGGAACATTTCCCAGAGGGATTCTGTTTCCGGAGGAAGAATTTCTTAGTTGCACGTTCAAACTTCTCAACAAATAAACATCAGATTTTAAACATATTAGAGCTCAGGATTATTGGTTTAAAGCCCCGTGTCTGAATATTTGTATTGTTTTTTGATTTGTAGTTGTGTTTGTTTATTTGTAATCATGTGCTTCAAGGCCAACAGTGAAATGCTCTGAAAGTGTAAAGTCGCACATGCGCACTACAGGCGGCTGCAGTCCAACGGTTTTTTCTACACTAACAACAATTATAATAAATGGCAAAGAGCATATGTTTTTGTGCTACTCACCCTTTTTCAGCATGTAGGAGCAAAACTAATAAAATCCAGGGTCCAAAGAGACGTTAGTGTATTCACCAGTTTGGACATAACCGTGATCATGCAGGCCAGACGCTGCATGCGCAATGAATGCGTCTGAGTCCTGCAACAGGTTTGCCAGATACATGTAAAATGTTTTCTTTACCCCCTCCTTTTCTGTGCACATGTTCACCAAACTCAACACACACCTCATCTTAGAATATATTTACTCAGCACATGTGACAATTTAGGTCCAAATACTATAATTTCAAAGCCACAGTACTATAGTTTATAATTTCTTATCTGGCAACCCAACTGACATTGGAACTACAGCGTTTCATGTAAATCCAATCACCAATAAACACTGAAAAAAAAAGTTTCCAGAGGTTTTTCTTGTATAAGCGGGACCTTACTCATCCGTTTCTGCAGTGTGCCTACATTGATGGTTAGCAACAAAAGTGCCCAGATGTGTTACGTCGCATGAGAACCCGTATGCACTGTACTGTATTGTTGAAACCGAATAGGAGGTCTGTCTTTCTTTTTGAAATGTAACTTCTTACCCAACAAATTGTCCAAATTTCATCATCAGGCTAGCTTGGAAACTGGCTTGTGTCCACAGTTTTCCACCCCATAAAGCTCTCCTCTGGAATAACTGCAATATTCTGATCATGAACAAATCAATTTTTTTTCTTAACTGGTTCAATAAAGACATCACCCACATCCTTAATCTTTTTGATAATACTGAAAATATGTTATGAGAATTTTATGTCTGTCCATGGCTTTCTTATTCCTTTCAGAGAATTTAATATAACTAAAGCTATTCCCAAAGAGTTAATTTACGAAAACTCCACCCATGCTCTCACTGGAAGGAATTAAACTAACCGATAAAAAAATGTAACAATAGACACACGCCAGTGCTTTCATAAGGAAAAATATGTGGAACCCAGAGGTAAATTTTATTGGAGAGCTCAAATTGACAACATAAATTGGAGAAGGCCTGGCTCTTACCCCACAAATTCTGTATCTCTAACAAAACAAATATATCCCGTGAACTGTATCATTGCTAAATTCATAGATATTAATAACTCTTGTACGTTTTGTAAAACAAACTTAAAAACGACACTGCATTTATTTTTTTTGTTGTGACATGTCCAAAACATTTTGGACTGACCTTGAATCTTTACATTTTTCACTCAACTAAAATTGCATGTTCATTAAATCGCCAAAATATTATTTGCTACTACAGTAACTCTGAAAATTGTAATTTTTGAACATATACTCAGTTTTATCATTTTATATGCAATTTTTTTCATCCACAAACAAAAAATTTGCACATTTGATACCAAATTTTATTCATTTTCAGTCAGAACTAAACTGATTGATTCCCTTAAATTGATTAATAATAAATAAAGCTAATTTGTTTCTTTCTAATTACAAATTATATTTTCCAGTAACCTCTGACTAAATTTTAATTTAATTTTGTTGTTCTTTATCCCGTTCTCTCCAGTTTGTTCTTAAATAGTATCTTTGATTATCTTGTATAATTTGTACTTGTTTTACAACGGACTCTCTTAAAAAGTCTTATCACTGTTTTGGAAGTGCTGTTTGATAATTACAGTACCCGTTTGTTTTGTACATTTTGTTCAATAAAGTAATTAAAAAAAGTACTGTATTGTTGAATTTGCCTCGAGCCACTTTCAAGTCTAAGGTGACAACAAAACTTGATTTGGCACAAATCTAGGATCGTACCAGCAACCTGCTCAGCCTTTGGGACTGAGCAGCAGTTAGTTTTTGAAATAGTGATAAAGGGAGACATTTTTGTAGTGAAACATTTACTGTACTGGTAATTCAGCTTCAAAGCCTTATTTCAGATATAGCAGAATAAAATAATTTGCATAGCTAAGACAGAAAAATACACTTTATAACCATTTTACTTATCGCACAGCTAAAACAGCAATAACTTAAAATATTTGTAAATTCAGTCAGTAAGGAGTTAATTACTCTGAACTTATGTCTATGGGGAGTTTTTAATAAAGTTAAAAATTTCAAAAGGTATTAGATATAAACTCTAAAAGATATAGTACTTTTCCTGACTGAGCCAAATGCTGAGATATAAATGGTTAAAATAGCACAAAATATTCAGAGTAGCTAAAATCATAAAGAAATGCTGAACTAGAAAACAACTGTGCACAAATTAAACTTTAGCAGCACCTGCTCTATAAATACATTCTTACTGAAATAAACTAAAAGTACAATTTTATGCTTGTAGTAGTATTTTCGTGTTATACTGCCTTTCTTTGAAGTGAATATAAATAATCCTACTAGCCATCATGTGTGATGAGCAAAAAATGGACTTGATCCAAAGTTTTATTGAATATTACACAAGTTTACAGCTGATAGTTGCACAAAAGTAAAATGCCCTGAACTCAACACTTCATTGTTTAAGTCTTTTCTACAGTAGACGTTCTCCTTTCAGTCGTCTGTCTGAACAGAGTTGGTTGTAACAAAATAAATCATTCTAAGACGTCAAATAAAAAAAACAAAGAAACTGTTCAGAACTGTCGTCTGTCATTTCTTTTGAAAGAATCCCATAATAGAAGCTTGTTTCGTTCCTTTATGCGAGCTCGCTGAAGATTTCTTCGCAGCTTTTTTCTCCTTCTCTTTGCTACTTGATGGAAGTTTAGCTTTAAAGTCTCTCGGAGCTCGTTTGGCAGGTTGGAAATCGTCCTCCGTCTCAGAATAAGATTCACTCTCGTAGACTTTTTCTGTCACTGTGGATTAAAAAAAAAACAAAAGTTATGAATTAATATAAAAACTATCGGTAAACGCTGTGAAAACTACTGACATTTGTTTTGTTTATTTAAACAGAATCGATGTGTATAAAGTACTAAACAGACTCAATAAATTAAGATTGTTTTTCTTTTAAACAACAAATTCCAGGTTAGATTTTTGTGCAGACACTGAAGGCAATATGAAGACATCAAACTTGGACATCTTTGCACAGTAATTAGAAATTAGTAGGTTAAAGATAAAAATGGACAACCCCACACTAAGGTTTATGGCACATATGTCAGAGTCAAGGCCCGCGGGCCACATCCGGCCCGCGAGAAGGTTTTTTACGGCCCCTGGGATGATCTTGATTTATTATTAGAACCGGCCCGCAGACCGCAGCAAGCCGGTCTTGTGCGAAATTCTGTTCCCCTGTGAAAATCTGTTCCCCCTGTGTCGGGAGCGCGCACTGCAACCAGAGAGGCGGGTCCGACCGTCTTCACGGCTCATCTGATAAATTTCTCGGTAAAACGAGTCCACGTAATCGTGTCACGGTTGTAACTTTCATTTTAATGGACAGCTCCTGGTAAATAAATAAATGAATGAAAACCTCAACAACAACAAAAAACCTGGTCTTGTTTTTTTTTTTTTTATCGCCGAGAGAATCTTTGGTCATGTTCATTTTAGCCTGACAAATATGAGTCAGTCACCAACACATCATGCGTATTTATAATTTTTTCTTGCTAATGTAGAAGGATGGAAGCTGGTGAGAGCAGGACACGAACAATTAAACTTCCTGAAAACAAATATAGGCTTTCTGGTAAATCTCGTTCATATGAAAAATATGACACTATTGAAGAACAGATAGTTCTAGCTGCTATTTTTTTGCATTTAATGTCTGTTTTTTCTCTCTCTCTCTCTTATTTCTCTTAAGGAGAAAAAAATGCTTAAACCTCAAAGTACGTGGAACAAGATTTCAGCCTGAAACACACTCAGTAATGTTTTGGTGATTAATCATCTTGACATTTAGGTTCAATCATCACACACAACTCCTTGAGAATTTGGAAACATTTGCGCTTTATTTGCCAAAGTTAGAAGGGGGGAACAGAATATTTTAGCCACCTGAAATAATCTGTTCCCCCCCACAACATGGGAATAAATTATTATTATATACTTATTATAAGTTTAAAAGTTAAAGTTTAATATTTGTTTTCACTGCATGTTACTTCTCCTTGAGGAAAGTGTTGTTTTTGATTAATAGATTTTTGCACTTTATTTTATTGTATTTCAATCCAATTATATTTTAAAAATATTTCAGTTGAGTGGATGATAGAAAATTGCTATTATTTTTTTCTTTGAAGTAAATTTAGCCCAATTTTGCTAAAATAGAAAATATAGGCTACTGATGGTGCCTTGAATAATACAGGTTTCTTTCATTTAATGTTCACGTTATGGGGATTTTTATATAAAGGAAATTTGTCTTTTGTGTCTGTTGAAAATTAAAGATTACTGACAGAGCCATAAGAAAATATTGCTTTATTTATCTGATCATATTGGAATATATTTGTTAGGTTTTCAGTTGGTTCAATTAGGTTCACTAGACTATATGCGTCATTTAAAAAAATTTCAATGAACATTCGATCAGTCCGGCCCTCGGCTTGTAGCTAAATTTTTTATTTGGCCCTCCGTCCATTTGACTTTGACATCCCTGGTTTATGGTGTTAAATTGCCAACGGATTTGATCAAACTGATTCGTATTATCATTTCAGCAGCATTCGTTTTCTCATGGTTCTCATACCGATGCATCCTTCATTATCCTGAAATGTATGAGACTTCAGGACTCGTCTCCTCTTCCTTGTTTTGGTTGCAGTTCCCTGAACACAACAAGAATGTACAAAAAAATCGTAAGAAACGTCAATCAGCTGTAAAATCCAATATCTGTATTAAAAATATTAAAAAAAAGCATAATCTAGTTTTAAATCCAATTATAAAGATTACGGTACTTGTGAAAGTTGAGGAGCCTCAACGTCCTTTTCAGGACTTGGTTCTTTTGTTTCCGGCGGCTGTGGAGAATCGGGGATGACTGAAACATAAAAACAAACAGTTTTCTAAAATTATTCTTCGGCAGTTTCCAGATCGTCTTTGTTACAAGAGACATTTGGATTTATAAAAAGATTTATGGCGGTGATGGGCGCGGATCCGCTAAAAGCAGAATAGCGGATTAGCGTTCTCGCTAACTTTGAATACGTTTAGCGAGACTAGCTTCAGCTACATTTAAACTTGGGAAATTCAAGTCCGCTAATTTTTTTTAAAGAGTTCTCTGCACTAAAAGTACAGGAGAGTAGTGATTTACACAGAGCGACGCTATGCAGAGCATGGGGGGTTCAATTCCACCAGCAGTCACATGCCGAAGTGTCCCTGGGCAAGACACTGAACCCCTCACTGCCTCCAATGTGTGTCCCATGGGTGTATGAATGTGATAAAGCTCTGATTATTCTTTGTATAGATCTAGTAGAGTGCTGTATGAACGTGTAAATGAGGACACAGATTGTGTTGTAAAGCTCTTTGAGTATCTTGATGAGATAGAAAGGCATTCTATAAGTACTTCATTAATCACCCTCGCAGTGCTTTCACCCTCATGTACCACAAACGGTCTCTGACTCATGGTGTCAGTTTACAGACAATAAGAGACTTTAACATAAATGAAGCCAAACCAGAACAGGAAAACAACATGAAAAACAAATTTTCACACTCAGAAACATCGTAAACAGTCAAAACCATCGCACACATAATTCCTACCCAGCATGCTTTGCAACACTCACACTGTCTCTGGGGCGCGACTCTCTCACACATCTTTCCTTTAACATAGATTTATTACAGAGAGAATATTGATGATGACGCACAGCAACTTTGTAATTAGTTTATAAGAGTAGTTGACCACAAAGAGGATCTCCAAGGTGAATTAATAGTAAATGGCATGAGGGAGACGTCCGACACACATTGAACGCATCGCTCTGCTTCAGCACAGCAGAGTTCTGCTCCACCTCTTTGGTTCTGATGGACCGGATTCATTTCTGAAAGCTCACCTCTGAACGGGACATGGACGCTTTACTTGTGGTTTATGAACCGTTTTGAGTCGTGTTCACTTACAACGTTGTCACGTTACAGTCTTACAGCGACAGCAGTGTACGAGAAAAGTTAGCGCTTCAGCGTTAGTTTACGATCAATTTGATCTTTTTAGCGCTTTAGCGTTAGTTTACGATCAATTTGATCTTTTTAGCGCTTCAGCGTTAG